ATGGCCACGCTGCAATCCCTTCTCCTCCATTCTCCTCTTGGGATCTTGGGCACGCACGCACATGCGCCCAGCGTGAGTTTTAAGCCACCAGGTCCGGGACGTGAACCGCAGTTGACTATGTGGGAGTCCAGCGACATAGCTATTATGCTAACTACTAGTCCCCTCTGTTCTCTTCACGGTGACTTCCGGCAATGCCTCTGGGCGGCCAGCGTCCCCTCCCCATGCATTAGAGAGCCTTCTCGCACCCTGTCTCCCTTGGTCCCAGGACGAAGCAACACCTTAACCCTCCCCAGTGCACCCAGCTCCTCCGGGCTCCTTGGGGGCAAGTGCTACTCCCACCAAGAATTAAAGGCCCCTCCCGGGGGAGGAGAACGGCCGCAGCCCTGCAGCCCCTCCATGAAGCGCAGCGCCAGGGTGCCGCCCTGCAGTTGCAGCCTGGGCTTCCTGCCTCCACCGCACCGCGGCAAGAAAGTGGGAGTAAGAAACCGACGCCCACCACTCCTGCAGGCAGCGCTCTCAAACCCACGCGCCGAGGGGATCCCACGTGGCGGTCCTGAGACCCCAGACCGGGCTATGGGAGAGCCAAGCTGGCTAGCGCGCTGGTGCTGGGCAGGGCGGCGGCAGCGTGCTGCATCTCGCTTTGTCCTCAGACACGGTCTCCTCGTTGACGTCCCGCGCTTGGCTGTGGGTAAGTTCCACCTCGAATAAAGGCAGCCGCAGGGCCCAACTAAGGGGTGCAGCAGGAGCTCAGTGCCCTGCAGTGCTGGACGCCCTGGGGAAGATGGAGGTTCGGTTCCTGAGTTGACCTGTATGTGTGTACCTGTCATCTCAGCTGGCCGAAAGGCAGGGGTGGGGACCAGTGTGAGACCATGTGGAGGGTGTTGGTCTCAAAAGGAAAGAAAGAAATTAACTTAAAAACAAGAACAGGTGGTTCTGGCGAGGTCCCAGGTCTGAACCCCGCCTTTCCTTTGGGTCCAACATTCCACATTTGTACGAACAGTCTACTTAGTCACTGATTGCTCAAAATCATACTGAAAGTCCAGGCCCCGCTCTGGGCTCATGGCACCGCAGGCAGAGATCTCTAGCCATGCAGCGGACCCCCAGTCCCTCATGCTGGCTGGAGCACTCAGAGACCACTGTGTTCAAAGTCACCGGGGCCCCACAGCAAACAGCCTGTCAGTGGACGCAAGAGGAAGCCGACCAGGCTGGCAGGCACGCTCTCCCTCTGCCCTCCCTGAAACTGCGCCCAAGAGGCACAGGGCCCAGGAGGGAAGGAGGTGCTGGATGCTGCTGCATGCCCTCTCAGCCTAGCGCTTCTCCCGTTCACTGATGTGCTGAAGCCCCTGTGCTCGCGTCTCCACTGGGACAGCTGAGGGCTGGACTGTGGGGGGACAGGCAGATGGACGGCTGGCTTTTGTGCCTCACTCAGTCCTCGTGGGCACTAGAGAACACCAAGGACAAAGAGGAAGGACAGAGGCAAGAACAAGACCCAGGAGAAAGAGCACCAAGCTAGCGGCCAGAAGCCATGGCGCCGAGAGCAGACCAGGGCTGCCTGGCCCACAGCTGGGACTAGTCTCATCTTACCACAGCAGGAAACGAGGCTGCAGGGTGAGCCGCAGTTGCCTTCCCACTGAAAGGACAGCCGGGGCTCTCAGCTGGAGACCACTGTGGCATGGGCAGATGGGCCAACAGGACGGCCACTAAGGAGGTGCCTCTGCCCGGAGGCTCGGTGGACCAGGACTTCAGTAGGAGGCCGCCTGACAGAGTGCCCAGCATGTCCAGAAAGAGTGAAAGGGCCAACCAGTCTGGTTTAAAATCAAAACCAGAGACAAAACCACCTGCAAATACTACTAGATTTTGAGGGGTGAGAATCAAAAGATAGTAAAATATACTTCTTTAATCAGTATTTTCTTTAAAAATAATTATTTTATTTCATTTCATTCATTTATTTTAATTTGACGAGAAAGAGTAAGTGAGAAAGCAAGCCACCAGGTCCAGGACTCAAACCATGGTCTAATATGTGGGAGTCCAGCGCCCTTAACCACCACGTCGCCTGCTGGTCCCGCTCTATCATTTTTAATAGACTTTGTATAAAAAGGAATTCTTCAGTTTTGTTTGTCCTGTAGTTGCTACTAAAAATCAAATAGTGTTGCTCTTTATGTTCACTGAAACAGGATCCATCTGAACAACAAAGTACTGAAACCCAAGCTCATCTTTTTTTTTTTTTTGAGAGGTTTTTGCTATAGGGCGCGTGCGCTCGCCAGACAGAGAGAGACAGAGAGACAGAAAGCAGGAAATCACCCCCCAGGGGGGATGGCCACGCCGCAATCCCTTCTCCTCCATTCTCCTCTCGGGATCTTGGGCACGCACGCACACGCACCCGGCGTGAGTTTAAGCCACCGGGTCCGGGACTCGAACCGCGGTCGACTACGTGGGAGTCCAGCGACATAGCCATTACGCTAACTGCTGGTCCCAACCCAAGCTCATCTTGAAAATAACTATTAGAAGAAAGCAATTTCATTTCATTTCATTTCATAAACTAGTACCTGGTTGATTTCCCCTTGGTGCTGAAAAGACTTTTTTTTTGCGTAATTTTTAAGGTAAAGTCTGAAAAGGCTTTTCTGCAAAGCGTGAATGCCACAGCACCTCCATGGCTCCCTGCTGTCCAGGGCAGGCTGCTGGGTACCTCTCCTAGACACTGGAAGACAGCTTGCTCGGACTCAGTTAGCTGCCCTTCCCAGGATCTCTGACTCAGAACGTCCTGCTAGTGAAGATGGTCGCACGCTTCTCTTTCTACATTAGGTTAGAATGACTTGACCTCTCTGGCCTTCCGTTTCAACCTTTCCACTGAAGAATACACATAGAAAAGTGCAGTGCCTGGGACCAGCAGATGG